GATGGTACAACGGGCTGCAGCAGTGGTATGTGGGGGGGGGGGGGGGGTAGTCCCACTGCAAGGGTCAATAATTTTTTCTTTAAGGAGCATTGCGACCTGGCTCCTAGGATCTGTCCAGCCTAGTTTTATAGTGCCGTCACCCTCTGCCCTAGAACAATGGGGAACAAGCTACTTGGGACTCCAAGGAAGGGCTCAGCGGCATGTCCAATAGTGGTGCGACACCACTGAATCTAACACAACAGATGACAAGGAACATCCATAGCTACATTCAGTTAACGGTCTGCATCTTTGGTGGTAATTTGGGCACCTCTACACACTTTTGCATGCTTGGGCAATTTGTTTTAGCCAATGGAAAGCCGGTTACTAGGCAGAGTAGAGGATTGTTAGGAATGACATAAGAAGTCTATTGGGGCCACAATAAAGCAATCATGGCCCATACATGACATTAACATAACATGCATCTCTGAGGAGCGAGCCCATCACTCCAAACCGCTCAGATCTGGAGGTGGCTCAACATCAGCGTCACCATCAAGCAAGTTAGAAAATGACACACATCGCTTCTGGAGAAGTTGTGGAGGCCGGAGCTGAGCATTCCAAGGCAATGAAATACAAATTGCTGGCGTGTATGAGCACCTTCAAGTTTGGGGAAGATTATAGCATTGCAGAGGGTTAACAGACCCCCAGTCACCCCAACACAGATTAGTAGAAGAGGTCAGGCAGTAACAGTACAACTGTGCTCTGATAAAAGGGACTACAACACCCAACATGCCTGGTAAGAGGTCAGCCCCACCCCCTCCCTGTGTACGACCTGACACTACACGGACAGAGGTCACAGGGTGGAGCGGACCCTCGCCGGTGCTCAGCAGAGGGGAAGCGGGGAGACAAGGAGCTCACTCACTCTCTTTCTAGCTGCCTCGCTGGTACGTACACAAGAGACCAGGCGGCCGCTCTCAGGCTGCCGATCAGTCCCAGCCCTTTGTCCGAGGAGGGGATCGCCAGCTCTCCGTCCGCCATCCTCGCCCTGTCACACCGATCTCTCCCGCAGTCACCAAGTTCCGCTCCAATGCTCTGCACCAATCACTCTCATCTGAGGTTTGTTGTGAGAATGAAGGAATCACCCCTCTCCCTACGTCACGGCTCAATCATACGACATGGGGAGGGACTGTGAGTCATGTGATCCAGCATGGATGGACGGAGCGCCGCCATATTTGTTATGGGCAGGTTTACTGTTTATCTTGGCGCAGAGTGGTTCTAGACCGGAGAAGTGAACGATTTTCACCAGCCAGGGGAGAGGGAATATGAAAATTGAGATTCTAGGTCCATTTAGTAAAGTAATGCGAGATGTAAACATAAATACATTATAGTGTGACTATTTCATAAGCAGGCTTCTGAGGTGGGAAAGAATTTGGTGTGCATAATTATTATTATTATACAGGATTTATATAGCGCCAACAGTTTGCACAGCACTTTACAAAAATGAGAAAGACAATACATTTAATAGGGATGCACCGATACCGATACTAATATACCGCCGATGTGTCGATACCGAGTATTAGGGGGAGTACTAGTACTCGCCCAAATGCTCCGATACCTTTCCCGATACTAAAACTTACGGTCAGAGGGAGATTTCCTCTGACCAGCAGTGCCACGAGGAAAGATGGAGCTGGGAAGCTGTCTCCTTGCTGTTTGGTCGGCTTGATGCTGATTAGCCGGGAAGCCGATTTCCCAGCCAATCAGTGTCGAGCCGGGCAAACAAATCTGATAATATAGCGACTGACCCCCACCCTGCAGGCACTTAATTCCACTCACATAGATTCTTAGCGATCTTTAACGTACCAGTCCCTCGGCCAGATCTTTCGTCTCCTGGGTTTACAGCGCTCACGTGACTGGCGCTCACCATGCTACTGCGCATGCACAGGATTTCTGAATGAGAGCGCTGGACAGTCTGCGCATGCGCAGTAGCAGGCTGAGGGCCGATCACGTGGGCGCTGTACACAGAGACGCGGGCAGATTCGGGAGATCGGTGTCTGCCTAGCTGGCCGAGGGACTGGTATGTCAAAGAATGCTAAGGATCTATGTGAGGGGAATTAGGTGCCTGCAGGGTGGGGGTCGGGTCACCATATTGTCAGATCTGTTTGGTAGGCCTCGATGCCGATTGGCTGGGAAGCCGGCTTCTCGGCCAATCAGCATCCAGTCGGCTAAACAGAATGGAGTTGGCTTCCTGATTGCCCGGGAAGATGGCACTATGCTACCGGAAGTATCGGTATTCGGTATCGACGAGTATCGAAATATAAGCATCGGTACTCGATACCGGTGTCGGTGCATCCCTAACATTTAACAATACACTTTCAGTACAGGAGGTAGGAGGGCCCTGCTCCTGAGAGCTTACAATCTAGTAGGCAGGGTAAGTGATACAAAGGTAATAACTGGGATGATTTCATGGAAGAACTGAAAGTACTGTTATATCGAAGTGGAATATATATGAAGAAAATTGCATGGCTAGTAACGTGCAACTAAACATGTGAATAGCGCACAGAGGAAAACGAGATGTACCACCATGAAGTGTCCATACAGAATGAAAACAGGTACTGAGAATTTTACCCAGTAGTGTGTGGGCTTGGTGCAAACCGAGTTTGCCAAAGCATGCGCAAAACTGTCAGGGACACCCCCATCTTGACACCCCCTCTTCCTGACCCAGACCACAGCTGATTGGGCAGGGAGCGTTGTGTGTCACCTACAGTTTTGCACATGCTTTGGGCAAACTGGGATCACATTAAGTCCACCCAATCAGTACTTCGTTGGGCCGCCTCGTGACTCCACGAGATGTTGAAAGGTGATGCGAGGAATCTGACACTGCACTGTTGCACTTCTGTTGTCTTGTACCAGTCTTGCCACTCTCCGTTCTGCCCTAACATTGACTAGTCGCTGACGGCCACAATTCGCACGTACAGACCCACATTTTCGGCTGACACTCCAGTCTTTAAACACTTAAACAACAGCTGCTCTTGAACATTTAACAATTCTGCTGTTTTGCTGATACTCGCTCCATGGCTCCGAGCACCAACAATCATCCCACGTTCAAAGGCTGTTAAATCGCGTTGTTTACCCATATCTTCAGAAAAAAATCACTTCTACTGTCGTGGTAAACAACCTGCATCCCTATTTATAATGGTCTGGCCCTCTAGCAACTTCAGCGCGAAATTATAGCTAATTATAGCTACCGTATTTTGCGGTCCATAAGACGCACCGGACCATAGGATGCAGGGAGGTCCGGCGCGCCTTATGGAGCACTCGACAGACTGTACACTGTAGCTTCTGTCACAGCTTTTATGACAGAAACTGTGACAGAAGCTGCAGTTAGTGACCGCTGAGACAGGTGGCGCTGTGATTACAGCGCCACGGTCTCAGTGATCACACAGAGCAGACGAAGAAAGTCCGTTCTTCGTCTGCTCTATGGTGATCTCCATCGTCGCCGCTGCTCGGTTTTAATACGAGTGATCTCATTAGATCACTCGTATTAAACGAGCAGTGGCTCCTACTGCTGAATACGATCGCCGCCGCCGCTGCTCGGCTTTAATACGAGTGACCTCATTAGATCACTCGTATTAAACGAGCAGTGGCTCCTACTACTCGCCCGGCGCCCGAAACTGCATGTCTCGGGCGTCGGGATTCGCTCCATAAGACGCAGGCACATTTTCCCCCTCCTTTTGGGGGGAAAAAAGTGCGTCTTATGGAGCGAAAAATACGGTAATTTGCCTACAAACGTCAGGTGGTCATAATAATCTGCCCACTCAGTGTATATATATATATAGATAATAATGTAATGTATACATATCAGCACAGTGACACCAGTAACCTCCAAACTTAAACTACACATCTTTTTAGGTCTGACATTATTACTTACTATATTTGTGCAAGACCTCTTACACTTAAGCTGTCTGTTGTTGCACAACAGGAACAAGATGATCAGGCAATTTTCGTGTGATGCTCAGAGTGTAGAAAATAATTTTCCATTTTTTATTCAAATTCTTGCAGTACCAACATATGAGAAGCAGAGTATGAAAAATAGATATGTATATGAATAGTAAAACTCATATAAAACAATATAAAACATCAATTTAAAATGTATAATTAAAAAAATAAGTAAACTGAAACTTAAGTAGTTTCTATTTTAAGAGTCTGTTTAATCATAATGAGTAATGATTCATTATGAGTAATGATTCATTATGAGTAATGCGTATTTACAGTTTTGATCAGAGAGTCTGAGTGTGTTAAATAGGAGATACAATGCTAGAATTATTATTATAATTCAGGATTTATGTAGTCTGCACAGTGCTTTACAATATAAGGAAGACATTACAGTTACAGTACAGATCAAGACAAGATGGTAAAAATAAATCTATTGCAATACAATGAGAAGCTGGTAAACAAACAAGGGAAAATTGTAATTCTACAAGTTGTGTAATGTATACAAAATAATATATAAAAAGTTTAGAATATCTCACCTATTTCTGTAACTTTTATAGAGCTTTAAAACAAGCACTACATTCCAAATCAATGAACTGAATCACTTATACAAGGCAATGCTTTATAGTAGAAGTTTTCTTCCCAGTGGCTGTTCTTTACAGCAGGAGCAAATTAGGTCAATAGGGTTTGGTGGCATAAGAAACTGAACAGTCTTTGCTCTTCGATGCGGTCATCACAGACTCATACCAGTAAAAACTGTTCAGTTTCTCTGCATCCTACACTATAATTACAGACAAATGATGCAAGGAAGGCATCTGCTTCTTGTGACTGTTTAATTTGATGCCTCACTGCCAGGAGCCATAATCGATTACTTTCTGTGCTGCAATGCACTTGTGCAGTTATTGGGGACCACAAATTGCTACAGACTGATGGATGTCTCCATTCATGTTACAAAAGATATACATAAAGCTACTGTGTCTCCATTACCAATTGTAAGGTATACAATGCAAAATAAGCAACTATAAACAGAATATTTGTGTAAATAATAATATAAAAAAAAACCTATGTTCAATAAAATCCAAATGTCACATTGCACATGCATTGTGATATGCCATCAAAGATTATTTTCTTTATCTGTCTCTGGCATTTGTTTCCACCCCCCTCTTCCCCATATTTCAGTTTTCCTCTATGAAGATAGCTCCACCTTTCCTTATTATGTTCCAGGCTGCATCTCAGCCACATGTTTTTTGCTAAGTGCATCACAGTATAATATTTTGACATACCCTATGTTCCCTGTTGTAGAGATCTGCACAGATTTAATTAAACTTCTCAATGATCGTCAAGGTGTCACCTGGATTGAGTCTACTGCCTGCCAATACATCTGAGATTGTGAGTTGCTGCCATCTCGCCAAAACTGTAAATTACAGAGATCACACTTGCAATGCTTAGACTGGGGAGGCAGAACAATATCTTAAAGTGATATTAAAGCTTCATGTGTTTTTTATTTTTATAAATAGAAGGCCCATACTTGTAGAAATCCTTTGTTGTTTTTCAATATAAATATTAATTTCCTTGTTCCCTAGTGGGGCCTTGCAGCCCTCTATCCCCGCCCCCTGCAAGGGTGCTTTCATCAGCCACGCGCCTGCTATGGAGGCACCCGTGCGTGCTCATTCCCAGCCGTGCCTGCAAGTGGCTGTGTGCATTCATAGACACACACAGCCCTGTGACAGGCCATGCCCCTCGACTCTGCCCAACACGCCCCTCCTCTCCGCCCAACAGGTTGATTGATGCCAGAGTCTGCTCCCCCACAACCAGAAAGATCACTCCGGGTATCGGTGGCGGTGACCAGCGGCGCTGACAGGTAAGTGTGGGGGGACGGGGGACCCTGAAAGGTACTCGGCGTTTTTTACCTTAATGCAGAGAATGTATTAACCACTTCCTGGCCGGCCATTGTAATCTGCTTCATCAGCTTCTTCAGGGGGGTCCTAGGTGACATTAGGGGTCTTGGAGACCCCTGATGTCTCCATAAAGAGGACCTGTCACATATTTTGCTATCACATAAGGGGGTTTTCTTAGCCCCCTACGTGATAGCAATAAAGTTAAGTGGAAAAAAAATGTAAGTTTCCCCCCAAAAATGTAAAGTTACAAAATAAAAAAGAATTACAT